ACCATTGATATCAGGTGCGCGTTGGCTGGGCATCGAAACTCGGACCATGTGTATGGTCAGTGAGTGTCCTAACCACTTTGCCACCAACGCAATGAGATGAATAATTTATTGAGTAAGTCATAAGCAGGACGCACATAGCAACGGAGGAGAATATGGATACATGTAAGAGTTGTTACTACCCACTTTCATGAGGAATTTGTGCATAAATGAGATTGTATAGTTAAAGAAAGTGAATTCACCGAAAAGAGCCATTTCGCTGAAATACGTGTGTTTTCGCTTTCCCGCATAATCAGAGGTGGTCTCTTCTGAAAAGTCTGGGGAAGATTCGGGGAACAATAGAGAAGTATGGGAAGAATAAATGAATTGAAAAGTCATGAGGGAAAAGGTTGATTTATGCTAAAGTGTTTCAACTTCCTTATGTAGTAGATAAAGGAAAGGTTGTCTCTGAAATCAACTGGATATCAAAGGACCAAAACAGATAAGAAGAGAAGCTGATATTAGGATGAGTAATATTCTGTTCATTTCCCTGCGTCAGTTTCATTGACATAAAGGGTGTAATTCGGGCACTGTAGTGGAATATGCTTCTATGTTAGATAAGTTCGTTTGACGTAGCGCGAAGTGATACAGTAATATTAACTGGATGAAGTTAAGGGAATTAATATGGGATATGAGTACTCAAGAGAATGAAGGTCAGTCTAAAGCTAAGGTCATCAGGTATCTACGATCAGGTCCTCATAGAAAATTTACTAATCAGTAGTTTATATTGTATTAATTTCTAGTCATGAACTTCTCATCAACCAAAGCTAGCTGAGGCCTAGTGTAATTCCCTTTGCAGATAACCGAATAGTGGGGTAATCAAGTGGAGGTGTCACATCAGGATCACGAAATTAATGACCAACCTAGTATGTGGAGGACTTATGTTAGAGTTCACTAGTGTATGAAATAAAGTATATAAGAAATAAAATTCAAGTCAATGGAATGTTAAGTAACAGTATATTACCAAAAATGCAACGACACGTTATATCAACAAAAGGGTTACTTTGAAATAAAGTTTAAGTCCTCTGCTACAAATTATTTATATAACCCACGGAGACGTTAGTTGTTTGGACGGAGTAGGTTGTAGCTGCTGTGTCCCGGTTGTAGAATTGTCTTCGGTTGAGCGTAGTGGACTTCTACAATAAATCCGAAAGATACAACATGGTGAGAGCTGAGCTAGTAAGCCGAAGAAACCAAGGAGAAGGAGAAGTCACCAACAGCAGAGTGTATTTTTCAATCGTACACGGAAGCCAAGTGTATTTCAACAAGAAGCGTTTTAAACAAAAATTATGTACAATATGTCTAATTTCTACAAATAACCAAAAAGTGTACAATCAATTGTTACGCACTCCACAGGGCTCCCCCCCTAGAGGTCCGGAGAGACCATCGGAAAATGTTAAGTAAAGCTGTGAAGTAAATAATAATAGTAATAACAATTTTTGGATAAAAATAGAGATATATTACAACATGCATAAACGCAAGAAGTTATGTGAGTCATGTAAAGTCTGAAAGCATATACAATTAGTTCAGCAATAAAAAAATTAAAACAGAAAGTCGTGTCTTTTAAATTTGCACTAACCATGAGCATAGATTTTCAATGTATAACGAAAAAAATATGTAAATACACAGTAACTAAGGAGGGGAAAAGAAATATTTTAAAAAATATGGATTAAAGATCAATAGTTTCTGAAAAGGACAATGCCTGTTTACAACGAAATACTAACGGTCATGATAATAATGTCTAAACGAAAAAGATAATAATAAATTTTAATATTTTTTTATTAGTCCTCAAAATGAACGTAGCGGGCCGGTTTACTGATTTGCCGACCACTACATGTTTGATATGGAGGGATGATAAGACTTGGTGCCGGTGGAGTGGAATGTGATGTTTGATTATTTGATTGTGCAGTTGCCGATGTAGCTTCAAAATCGTTGTCTGTGTATGCGGGTTTGATGCGATCGATGGAAACAGTCTCTCGTTTTCCATTCTTGTTCACCGTAAAGTGATTTTCTGAACGTTTATTAACTTGAAATGGTCCTTCTTATGGAGTTTGTAATCCTTTTCTGATGGCGTCGACTCGAACAAACACGAATTTGCAAGTTTGTAGATGTTTGTTGATCTGATCTCGTCGGGGAGATTGTCGAGGTGCTGTCGGTTGAAGCTGGAGCATTTGTCTAGTTAATCGGTTGGTGAAGTTGGTAATGTTCACGTCTGTGGAATCGGCTGAGGGGACTAGCTGTCCAGACGAGGTTAGGTTGGTGCCGTAAACAAGTTGAGCCGGTGTACATCCTCAATCTTCTTTGATAGTAGATCGGATACCAAGTAAAATTAAAGGTAAGTATTCACTCCACTCACATGTATCATTTTGCGCCATCAGGGAGCTTTTCAGTTGTCTGTGGAATCTTTCCACTAGACCATTCGCTGCCGGATGATAGGCTGTCGTGGAGATATGTTTCACTCCCAGGAGTCTCGTCAGTTCGCGAAAGAGTGTCGATTGGAATTGAGGACCGCGGTCGGATGTAATAGTAGTTGGTACACCGTAGTTTGACACCCAACGGTCGAGAAAAGCCATAGCAACGTTTTCAGCAGATATGTCGTTTAAGGGGCATGCAATAGCCCAACGAGTGAATCTATCAATCGCTGTCAGGATATGTGTATATCCTCTTGATGTTGGCAATGGTCCCACGATATCTATATGGACATGCTGAAATCTCCTTTCGGGTAATTCAAACGGCTTCGGGGTCGAAATAGTATGACAGTGTACTTTGGAGCTTTGGCATTGGAGACATTCGCGTGCCCATCTCCAAATGTCAGAGTTCATTTTAGGCCACACGAAGCGTTCGCTGATGAGTCTGACTGTGGCACGTACTCCAGGGTGAGAAAGAGAATGTAAATGGTCGAACAATGCTTTTCGGCAACTGAGAGGGACAAATGGACGGTTAGTGCCGGTAGATACAGCGCAGACTATGGTTGCATCTGATAAGGGGATAGGCACCTCTTTGAGCTGTAAGGAAGAGTTTCTGCGGCAGGTTTGGAGTTCAACGTCATCTCTCTGTAATTGAGCCATGCGATCCAGACTGATGTCTACCGCGGTTTGAAGCTGGTTTATTTCACTTCTTGAAAGGGAATCGGCTACCACGTTCGCATTCCCTTTGGTGTACTGGATGTCGGTTGAAAATTGGGAGATATAATCCAACTGTCTGGCTTCTCTAGGGGAGTGTTTATCGAGTGAAGTAGTGAAAGCATGACACAGGGGCTTGTGGTCAGTAAAAAATAGTGAAGTGCCGGGACAGCTAATCGAACTAGCAAATGATTGGCAGCCATTCAATAAACCATCATAAAATAAAAGGCACACAGACTATAAGGGAAGTATAGTTCCTGGTTAACCATTTATCCGAGACCATTTAATCTTCAGTCACTTTTCTTGCCTCCACAATCTTTTCTAAATGTAGAGCCTCGTCGATGGCTCTTCAACCACCTAAAAATCTCGATCATATCCCAACGATTTACTTGTATACAATGGGTCCACACCATGTTCCATTAACTGCTGACATTTCTACTTTTTAAGCCAAGGTTTCGCGTGGTGATGATGCCCGAGGACCTAATTTGAAACGTAACAAACTACAGGGTATTCAGTATGAAATTAATCCAAGTATGGTTCTGTAGATATAACGACAGAAAACAAGGGCCAGGCAAAAGGTCGTTTATTTAAAAGGTCAACAGGTATTTAAACATTTTTATGTACATAATAATTCGTCATTATTAATAGCAGAGAAACAGCGTCTTCTGATTGGTCACTGGAAGTTATTTTGTCATCTCTTTGTGGCCGTTTCTTTGAAGGTCAGACCATATATCTGCCCACGCAAAGTCTGATATTATCAGTTGTTAAGCTAGTCTTTGTTTTTGTTTATTTTCTCATGATGAAGATACGGGACTTAAACACTGACGCAAGTTGCTGTCTACCGATTTCGGCTAGCAGACAGCTCTCACCATAGAGTAACTAAGGATATCCCGACGAATAAACTTATCTGAACATGTAAACATAGGGAAAGTTACGCTACCGCTCCAGTGACTTTCTCGTAGCATGAGACAATTGTACGGTAACATGAGACTAAGACATCCCAAACCATGTGGTATACACATACCTTGCCAAAACGTCTGATTCCGTTTCATAGAAATCTCATTCGAATGATTGAAATGCAATCAGAAAACAACTGTTATCACTAAGAACTCAGTGCAACTCGGTGCACGATAGTATATACACAAATAAACTGAAAAATAACGTCCTCCTTACCTTCTGAACAACTTATCCTTATTACAGGATAATAACTTTCTTTCAAGTATGAGCCTGAGTTATGTCTACGATATCACAGTATTACATCAGTTAAATCTTCCCTCAAAACCAAGGCCACTTGAAACCAATAGCAACATAGCGACAAGCGTCACTGAGGGGATATGCAATAAAGTGGCTCTCCAGATAAGATCACTACATCTCTCTTATTCATCAGCAGACAGTTATGCATGCCTACAGCCAAGCTGCTTGTGAATCCATAAAACACATTCCTTGAACTGCGGTTGCAAGCTTGAGGCTATCTTTGTTTCTTGTTTCACCTTTTTAGAGTTCACTTCTCTTCCTGTTTTTGTACACTCACTCCTCTTCTCCAGCTTTATGAATATTTGTTTTATCACTGGTTTGTCTCATTTCTTAACATTACTTTGTGCCGCTTTGTTACCGTCTCATATCCTCAGCTTGTATTTCATCAGTCTACAGTGTTCCAACTGTAGGTAGAAGAAATATCTTAATGAAATCAAGCACACCTCTACTAAATGAATCAACATCAAAATCCATCTTCTTTCAAGAGGACTATGGCAGACAACAGGATGAGTTCAATTTAAATGAATCCACGAAAACATTAAGGCCATGAACACGAATGGTTGATTCCGAATATGAAAGTACTGAACTTCGGATTACCAGGCGGGAAGTACAACAATTGCACTACTTCAAGGTCAGTGTGCTTCTTTACCCTGACATTTATATGTAAAAGTTGCTATTCTTATTCGGCTGAGGTAAATTAAAGCAATCCAAGGGAAATCCTAACATACGATCAAATAAGTGTAGTGAAATCAGGTAGAAAAGACACCATATACAAAAAGACAATAATTATTGTCCATATTAATATAGACATCATTCCTCATACTTTTATTTCTGTATCATGGACGCTTAGTACTGGTTTCATATCTTCGCTCAAATCCGCTGGATGAATGTATTTAGTCGTTTGAAGTTCATTGGTGTCCCAAGCTTACAATAGTAAGCGACACTTAATTCAGGATTATATATAATCCAATAACGTGACGGAGGCATTTTTGTGTATGGAATACATATATTTATGAAAAAAATTGCACAAAAGCTGTATAAAAGTGTTATCGAGGATACCTGGCTCTTATATCTGGAATATCAACAGTGTATAATTCCATTGTAGGTGAAATTTATTTTGATAAAGCCTCATAGTGTGATAGTAATATTTACTGAGCAATAAATGGTGCTCGAAACGTCATCAGTAAATATTACTGTATAACATCCTGAGACTTTATCACAATAAATTTTACTCACAGTGGAATTATACTCTATCACAGTACACAAGTTCTATTCCTATATCAACAGAGAAATTTAACCCCATTTTATGCACGTGATTATTTAGGTCTTCTAACCGTGAAAATAACACTAACTTACCCTGAGCCTAACCCTTACGCGAAAATATGCCTAAACTGACTGTAATCTATCTCAAATCAAACCTACTGTCGCCTCTGTTAGGTTGACCTAACCTTAACTTGTCCTTGGCTTAAAGGGTAATTTAATCTTTCTCAAACCTAAGCTGAAACTTGCCAGATATTCCATTTAATAACATAACACTTCGATTAGGATATTTTATTGATGATGACAACATTATTTACGGGATTTCACCAACTTGCTCGGTGGGCGTTTCAAGTTGATTGGTGCGGTCACACTCTATTGGTAGTGAGTGGTGCTTAAAGTTTAACTGTGCCGAAAATTCCATTAAGTGCAGTTGTAGTTATCGAAATTTTTCTTTGGAACCTAAATTTTTTGTTACTTAGGTTACTTCAAGATTCAGGGTAACTTACTCACCTATCACTTCATGAGTGAAATGGTGTACTGAGTTTTGGCAAAATCACTACATAAATGTGTGGCAGATAGAGGAATATCTAATCAGTTAGTCTCCAAGATCTTTCTACCATTCCTTCATACTTAGTTGAATCATTGGATTCACAATGCAGAATTTAGGCATAAAGTCTTGGGTAAAGTGGATAAGTCAGTCGAGTAATCTTTAAAACTCGGTTCTCTGAGGTGGCTCAAACATATTTTAATCTTACATACGCACTGCTGACCTCAGTGTGATATGTTGATGGAAGTAGGATTAGCCTGAAAAAGGTAACAGTGGCTAGGACAAAACATGAGACCAACCTACGAAGTCAATGACTATTTGTTTCAACAATTTAGAAGAGTGTTGATTGTTTGGTTAGTATTCACATCACAACCAGAACCTGCGGTTTAGTACTATGTTGCGTAGTTCAGAATTAAGCACAACAACGCAGATGCATATCTTTTCCTTAAATATTTGTTTTGTTTCTTTTCTCGTAACTAAGCATTCTACAACTTTCTGTTCTCTCACCTACTTGACATGCAGTCACTATGTATCATAACCGTTACAGCTTTCCAGTAATTCAGTGTTGCCAATCTGTTTCCATCCCATGATTAATTACTACCACGACTGAAATTATGTATTCTTTACGCTCACATCCAGAGTGAACACATGGTCACTGATACTGTATGTATTTGCGATGGTTCAGTAATAGAACGCTCTGTAACCACACCGGTGGTCAGGGTTCGACTCCTGGCGGGATCACTGTTAAACCTCTCCTAGTAGGAATTAAGCCTAGGAAAGTGGAAAGGTTGGGTGTAGGACTAGCCACCCCATTCCATAAAAGCAACAGCGCTAACGAAAATCCCAAGCTCAAAACATGAGTTCCTTTGTCCCATCCGGAACACATCACATTATATTGAAATGTGCTTTTTGTTAGGGAAATATTCTGTCTGACTGTATGAAGGTTAGTATGGTTTTGTTTTGCGATTTCAGTTTCCTACTCATCAATCCTCCATATGCCCATGTCCGCATGTCATATTGGTTCCGTGGTTACTCCGCTAGCAGTTTTAAATCGATTACCAGGTTGGCTTGGAACTCTGGTTATCAGTCCTGATGGATCAGTTTTACAATCAGCTGGAGAATTAGTAAATAATAAGGATTTGGCTCAAACTTTTGCTGCAATCGCCAATCGAGTTGGTCGTTTATTAAACATGGAAGGTGAAAGGAAAACACAACAACTTAAAAGACTGACTGGTTAGTTGTACTTCCTTTTGTTTTAATCATTTCCTTATAATTACTATCTATTTTGATTTTGTCATAATTGCACCAGGTCGGTTCAAAATTAATTTACAGAAATGGTTATTTCATTAAATGCTACCATTCATCTATGAGAGTTCAAGTAGAAGTCAATAAAACTAAAGATCGATTTTTACCGTAATCAAATGCAAAATAATTTTAATCCTTTCTTCTGATTGAAGCTCTTCACTGACTGAGTTTCCAACACGGGACTTTGCGTAAAAATGCAGCCACATTCCATAAAGCACACAAAGGTAGAAAAAAGAACGAAAAATTGTAATAGAACTGTAATGAACAGAATTGTATCGGAGAAAGAATAAGTATTTGGAGACAAATGAGAATTTAATAGATCTTTGAGACAATAATGCATCTGAGCCGTTCAGAATGATTTTTAGCGAATAGTGTCAAACTCTTGATTCTTATATTCTGGAGGACTTCAAACAGGCGGTCTTCACCTCCCTACATGATGGCTCGAAGTAACAGTTAGCGACTTCGTAGATTGTGATGCCAGGTTTTGATTTGACTACCCCTAACTCTTTTCCGAAACAATCCAATGCCAGCTAATATCGTTCGTCGACAAAGGCGATGTCTGGAAATGTGCAACACGGGTTCTAGCCATCTCAATCGATGCGACTTCACAAACTCATCAGTGGACATCCTTCCCTTACCTAACAGTCTACGCCATATTTCAATATTGCTTACTATATCATACCACTTGACTCGGGAGCAAGAACACAAGCAGTTGCGGTCGAAGACAGCTAGCCTTTTCATACCTCGCACTTTCAATGACCGTGTCTCACTCACAGCCCTAAAGGAGGACAGAGCGAACTTCTGCACGGTGTACACGTGCTTTGGTCACTAAGTGGATATCTTTTACTCTCACCCAGGCTTCTGTTTTATTTTCAGTCACTACTGAAATTATTTTAGATGCGTTATTTAATGTTTCAATGTTTCCTACTTTTTTTTAAATCCCCTTTTTATATAGTACATTTTGAGCATTCAATATATATTATGACATGCGTTGGTGATACAATCTATGTAGTGAAACGCTTACCAGACAATCATAATACAGCACATACAGATTTGTATCAGCATGTACAACACATGAAATCTGATAATAATAGTAATAATAATAATAACAATAACAACAACAATCCTATTGGGATACAACATACTGCCAATAATGTTACTAACGATAGTAGTAATAATAATAATAATTTAACTGTAGTGGATAATCATGCACCTCAGCAGTTCTTTAATCCACGCAATTCAGATGATTACTGACAGTTGAATATATATTTATGCAACATATATGAGAAAAAGAAACTATTTGTATATCTTGTTAATTTATTTTGAGCACAATGACTATGATGATAAAAAGGTTGTGACATTGGTAGTTTTTACTGCCTTTCTGTAAATAATTACAACTTTTCGCCTTGATTTTTCTCATCTTATTTATTTGATTCAACTGCAGAATAAATTTCTTCTTTAGTAACTTCTTTCTTTCTTCGTCTGTGCCTTCATTTAAATGTTCAGAGTGTTTTATGCGAGTTGATGGTTAGACAAGCAAGAAGTCTTCTTTAGTATTGCACAAATCTCTTTCATGACTGTCTTAAAGGCGAAACGTCACTGTCGTTTACAATAACTGGGAAATCTCTCAGAAAATCCTAAATTTTGTTTGGGTACTAGTAACTAGTGTGATGTGTCTAGTCCTTTCTTTGGTGCAGACTGAATTCTATCAGTCAGGTTTGCAATGTGGCCACCATTCTAGGTAGCTCACCATCACGGTGCACATTCATTTGACGATATTGTTATTTTCTGACGAGTGTCAACTAGCACAAAACCTAGATCCAAGGCTTCCTGCTGATTGCCTTCAACCATCTAATATCATCAAATCAATGTGCACCGTGATGGCGAGCTACCTAGAATGTTGGCCACATTGCAAACCTGACTGATAAAATTCCGTCTGCACCAAAGAGAAGACTAGACACGTCACATTAGTTACTAGTGCCCAATCAAAGTATCCAGTACAGTCCTACAGGAGGTCAATAGCGAGCCCGAATAACTCATTGGTAACGTCTCTGACTGCGTCACTGGTTGACGCGGATTCGAGTCTCGGAAGGGACGTGCGTTCCTTCAAGGTTGCCGATAAGCCTTGCTGAAGATTGCTAACTAGTACGAAACCTAGGTTTAAGGCTTCCTGCCGATCACCTCCAACCACCTAAATCTTGTTAGAAATTATTGTAACATCTGAGGTTGTCATGCAGCTTGCTTAACCGTCTCAAAATCTCACAATAGTAGTATCTGTTATCCTTCTTTTCAAGAATTATCGTGAAATAGCTTCCTTCATGAACAGCTTTAGCTTGATAAAACCAGACCATTATGTGACACCGATCCATGTAGCTTATAGCACCTGTTTGGAATGGCGTTAGGAAACACAGTTACTGTGCTTATTTAGGAGTTTGTCTTCATACTACTGATCAGTGACAAGTAGTCAGATTCATACGAAACAAACTAACCCGTCAAACATGAGATGGTATAATTGTAGCATGATGTGTAAGTAAGAAATAACATAGATTACTACCTCAGATACTTTTACTCAACGAAAATATGATACACCGGGCAGGCAATCATGAGAATCCCAACAGGAAGTAAAGAGTTGGGAGTGAGTTCAATGATGACGTGGAGAAGATCATGTGAAAGAGGAAATTAAACCTTGTGGAACGATTCGGAATATGTGAAACTAATATAATATAACGTAGTATAATTAATTTATAAAATACATTTCCATCTAAATAAGAATAAACAGTTGCTTACAAGTCATTAAATAATGATTTCGCTTTCGCATCTTATTTGTTCTCTGTTGTAATAATGCCTAATTTGAAGAGCTCCAATGTATTGGAATTTATTTTTTGTGTGTGCAGAAACTACTCAACTATTGTAATTCAGCTCATCAATCAACATTAAATTTCAAGTGATTAGTTTTGTCTTAAATCGACTAGAGAAGAGGTGGTGAAATCGTAGGCATTCATTATAGGAGTTTATATAGTAGTCTGTAATTCATATACACTAGTTAATCCATTGATAATTTAAGATTGTGATTATCAAGCCAGTTACAAGTAAATTATGCGCATGTAAAATATTTTTTAGATACGCTAGGTAATGTGTTGTTAGCCTATCGTGTATCCTAGATTGATGCATTTATGACTGTTCCTGCATACAGATAATGTTATAAAATTGACTAAAGCTAGTTAGATTATTGATGAAAAGAGTTTCTTCTCTATGTGACGTTTTCAGAAGCTGTATATTCTCGTTTCTTTCTTTCTGCCTGTCTGTCTGTTTTCAACACAGAACTTTGCACCGGTGTGCAGCAGTTCAAGTCGTCACACTCCATGTAGCACACAAAGCAAGAGAAGAAAGTAGAAGAAATGCATAATAGAGACATTAGACAGGGATATGAGACAAAGGAATAGTAATAACGAAGAACAATATAGTTTCATTGGAAATTATAAGTCACAAGGAGTGGATGCATCTGCGTTAGCCATTGAGAACGATTTTGAGCCATATCACCAATTATCTCCAGCCGTTGGTTTTTGCCGTACGGAGGACGCCAAGCCGGAAGTCAACATCTTCCTACGTGGCTTAAACTAACTGTTGTGGATTTCATTGACTGGTGACATGTTTTCGTCTGACCACCGCTAGCTCTTTTCCAATTGATATGATTATGAACAATAAATTTTGTTCGAAACGTCATCCAGTAAATAATACTGTTTCACTGTGTGTTATATCTAATAAACAAACTAATATGGAATTAGCTCTTTTCCAGCCTGACCCTTGGTCAGCTAACACTGCCCGTCGAGGAAGGTGATGGTTAGGGATACGTAACATATGTCCTAACCATCTCTGTCAGTCGATGTAGCTTCACAGCCATGTCGATTGATTTCCCCTCCTTACTTAGCACTCGATGCCTAACCTCAGTATTGCTCAGCCTATTATACTACTTCATACGGGAGGTAGAACGCAGGCACCTATGATCAAAGACAGCTAATCTTTTCATGTCTTCCACTTTCAATGGCCAGCCATAAAGGAGGACGGAGCGGACTGCTGAGTAGTACACCCGCCCTTTGGTCAATAGCCGGGTATCTTGTCTGCGCCAGAGACGGCGTAAACTGGCATATGCGAAACTAGCCCTCTGTATCTGTGCTGAGATTTTGTCAGCTATCAACCCAGTGGCGTAGACTGATACAACTTCCGAAATAAGTGAGGTGGTCAACGTGCTCTACCACTTCACTCCCTATTTCTAAGCTAGGAGTGAATGTAGTCCAGTCCTGTAGCATCACCTTATATTTGGCGGAAGCGAATCGCATGCCGAACATTCATTTCTTTAATAAAATAAGTCAGTGTACATACTATTATTTTCAACAGGCATATTGTAAGAACGTCATAATGTAAGAAAAAGCGATGATATTATGAGAGTCATAAATAAAAGATTAAGGACAGCCCTGTTCAGGACGTATCTTGCAGCGAAACTAATCTCTCTGCTGCGAATATCCTCCTTTTTGGGGCAGTCAGAGATCGACAAGTACCCTTCATATGTTACCTCCAACTGTGTATGCCAATCTACATGTATCTGTGCACAATTTATTGTTCGAAACGTGGTCATCAGTAAATATTACTGTATAACACTGTTAGACTTTATCAAAATCAATTTTACCCATAATGGAATTATACTCTACCACAGCGCACAAGTTCTATTCTTGCATCAGAGCTCCTTGTCGCTTGCTTATTTTTACTGTCGACCATCTCTTCTTCATTAACGAGCCAGTAGTTTCAGGTGTTGATCAAAAGTCTGCAGCAGACTGTGAAGAATGCTTTTGTTGACACACACACCTATTCTCTGAACCATATAGAAGCACTGATTGACTAGTCATTCGTGTTAAAACTTGGGATCTTGCTGAGTGCTGCATTAATCTCCGCATCGATTTCACAGTAATGAAAACCTGTATTGACTTTTATATCCTAATGTGTACCTTCATTAATTGAAAGGATACTGACTAGTTCAATTAAGGGAAGGAGACGTCATCCTTTAGATTCCTCCTATTGATAGTGGTTGCTGTTTGTTGTTGACCGATGGAAACGTGGTGACATAAAATGTCCGCATGGTGTTTAGGACTAATATTATTACTTCATCAAGTAATTGTTTAATTTCCAGGAATATTTGGGAAGATAATCGTTCAAAAGGAAATATTACTCACATTCAGACTGATAGTTTCTGCATAGACAATAAAATTAATTGCACCGGCGGTTCAGTGGTAGAACGCTCTCCAACCACGCATGTGGCGTTGGGTTCGATCGCGGATGACACACTACTAGACCTCTGTAAACCGGCAGTAAGGTCGGTAAGGAGGGAAACTTGGGCATGAGGCTAGCGACTCCAACCAGTAAGAATAAAAAGTGCCACTACTACCGGAACTTCAAGCTCCAGCTTGAGGCCTATGTCCCGCTAGGAAATTCAAAAATAAAGTGCATAGTAATAAAGTTAAAGACACAGACAGCAGTATCCTGCTATATTTGTGTTTTGACAGTGTCAGCGACTTCTATGGATGGAATGATTTATACTATGTTGACCACTTCCTAAACTTTTTCATATAGAGTATTACTAAATATTCATTTGAATAATTATTGGTGTTTGAATGTATTTTTCACCCGAACTCACCATAGTGATATTGGCAAATTACTGCAGAAATGCACGAATGGAGTGCTCCGTACTTCCCTATGCTTCAACAAATTATTATTTCTGCATGGTGCTTTTTACTACTGAATGGTTGATATAAGTAGTTTAACATGAATCACATCAACTAGCAGTGCTTGTCTGGCCTATCGAAGTGATCTAAGCACTGGGCAGCTGAGGTCATCAGCAGTGTGCCAGGTGTAACTCAGCTTAAAGATCGAATAAGTTCAAACCACCTGTATCCTAGTTAGCTACCTGGGCGAAATGGCTTAATTCACAGTAGTCATAAAGTCAGATGACACTCAAAAGAATTAGCGGACTAAGTGTCTCGGATTACACATAACTACTGATAATGAGAACATCTCACAGATATAAAGCTTATTCAGTAGAATCTTCTGGTTATTTGACTGAAGTATGGTATAATTGTTACTTAGAAAAAAAGAAGTCTAGTCTTTGGCATGTGTTAACAGATCCAACTGTATATATGATTATATTATGTACTCAGGTTAGTTGAACAAAAACTAAGTGGACACACTTTCATTATCGTATCAAAGGTGAATTCATATCTTTGAGATCTAGTGTTCATAGTTTCAATTTTTTGTCACACTGGAACTTTTTAGATTTCTTAGGCAGGTGTTGAATATTTTCTCAGGATATCTCAACATTCAGTTACTCCAGTTTCTCGAATTCTCCGCTTACTGCGCTCGTTTCTAAAGCTCATTTTATCAAAGGCTTGTCATCTCAGTCGTCTTTATCACCGTAGATTTAGGTGAGATTCTATCCCTTTCATTATACTTCTTTCATCTGCGTTTGATGTTGCAACCATTGCATAGAATTAAGAGGGGGAGGTAAACTATTTTGTCTTATTAGCCTTATGAGATCCTTTTTTACTAAGTTTCTTCTTTCCTTTCTTTTTATTCCTTTACTTTCCCAGTGGAACATAGAGCTTCAAGCTACAGACTTGAAGTTTCGGTAGCACTGGTGTTTATTTTCACGAGATGGGGTTGCTAGCCTCACGCCCAATCTTTCCTCTTTACCAGTCTTATTACTGGCTTAGCGAGGTCTAAGACTGCGTTGGCCAGGAATCGAACTCCGGACCACATGAGGCGTGGTTGGCGAGCATTCTACCGCTATGCTACCGATGCCTTACGAAGTTTGTTTCCATGTATACTTGGGGACTGAAATGCCACCTTAATAGCAGAAATGCTAAGAGTCATGCTGTAAGTAACCACAGTTTCCAATCGTTATGTTTTATGACAATGTTTTATTACTCCCTCTTTCACTTTGAGTTCCGAGTGGAACATAGGGGATAGGGATTTGAAATTTCAGTAGCTTTAGTATTGTTTTTACGGAGTGAGATCGCTAGTGTCACGTCCAGCAACCCTTTTTTATCTAGCAGTAAAATAGGTGGTGTTTGGGAATGCGGCACCATCTGGGAGTTGAATCCTGGACAACGTAAGCGACTGGCAAGCACTTCACTGGTGTACCATTGATATGCACTCCTGCTTTTATTTTAACTATATTTAATTTAAAGTAAATATCAATGACAGAAATAAAATAACACAAAACAAAGACAACTATATTTTTCTTTCTTTGTTTCTTTCTTAAACTTCATTTTTAAATAATCCTAAATGAAGAATATACAGAAGTGAAAATTAAAAGCAATTGAACACTGAGCATATGAAGAAGCGTTGTTTGTTTGTTTGCATGTTTGTATATATGTATGAATAAACATGATTGTAAAGCATCAGTTCAGATAAACATTTTAGAAAAAAAAAGTCAGTAAATATTTCTAGATTTCGAGGGATGCAGCTGAGTGTGTTTGGGTGTATGGATGTGTGTGGTAGTCAACAATTAAGAAAAGTCTACTTCTGGAATTATCTTTTAAAGAGAGGGGGTAATAAAAGTCAACTAAACAATAACACTTAACACAGTGTTTGTTTAAACCTGAACAAAAGAAATATATAAGCACTATAATCCATTCATCACACCGCTTTCCTACTTCACTGTATATGGCTAATTGAAAGGAGTTTGATTTTTTTGATATTTTGAATTCGCTTCGAATCAACTGATTGGTTGGGAGATAGATGAACAATTTGCTGATATAACTGTGGATGAATGAAAGAATACTCAGGAATGGTCATGGTACAAGGTGAAAGAATAAGCTGAATAATATAATTGTGAAGAAATTTTATAAGAACATTTTTCCTGAACTTCTTAATCAGTGTTCTATGAAAACTTTGGTTAAAAGTTGTCTGGCGCAATTTCATATTTCTCCACGGGATAGTATTGCCTAAAATGAACCAGGAAAATAAAATACATGATAAATTTTACTCAACAGAAACTAAAACCTGAAAAGATAGTCTTTTTTGTAAGAAAACGGGGCCAAAGAACATCCAAAAACCGCAAAAACGTTTGTTGGCTCCTAAGAAATTACAGTATGCAGTAATGTCGTACCATTTAAGTTGTTGACCACTTTGGACATCCAACTGGTAGGTTTTGATTACTATTTTAGATCTGGTGATCGATTAAAATGCACCCTATATTGAGTCACTGGTGAGGAATTTCCTAACACCGGTTATGAGTAATATCTTCGTGTTTTACACCGAAAAGGATGCAGTCTAGCTTCATAGTATTTAGGTGACTGACATCTAGCATCGTTTAATCAATTAAAAAGGATAACTTTACCAAAAAATCACCCAAATTCTCACTGAAACCTGAAAACCGAGTAGAATATAGTAATGCGAGCGTTGAGCCTTGAATTTTCAGTAGTGATGGTGTTTATTTTTGCGGGATGAGGTTCCTAGCCTCATGCCTAACCTTCCCTTTTTACCGAGCTTACTACGGGCTAAGTGAAGGTTTAGGATGCGTCAGCCGTGTGTCGAACCTGGGTGAGCATTCTATCACTGGACTATCGACGCTACACGACAGTTAATCGATTATCTGAAGACCCTGAGTCAAATAGTTTTCTTACAGAATACACAACAACTGATGTCTGCCGAAGGGCAAGCACAAAGATTGATATTTCAATGTGAATTTTTGTTAACCATTCACTTTTAATGTGTACTATCATCGGAATTGGCGTTAAAGTTATTTTCTTAGTAGAATGAGAAATTCTTGACAAGTCTTGACAATTAAAGACTTATGAAAAAGAAATATACGCATTCACTGATTCCACAAATGAATTACTGAAAGACCTTCATCTTGAATTGTTGACCGTGACTAGCAGTCTCTATCTATTCATTACATTCACTATTTCATTTTCTCTTACTTGATTTGTAAAACACAAGTGGAGGTAAATATCTTTTCAGAAAATGTTAGTGAATCAGTAGTTCAGTGGGAGAGTGTCTGCTAGTCATTCATGGGTCCTGGTTCGATTTCCGCCTACCTCATTCCTAAATCCTTCCTGGCCGATAGTAAGCCTGGTAAAGACAAAAGGTAGGGAGTGAGACCAGCAACCTCAACCAGTGAAAATGTCACCATGGCTACTGAAACGTCATAGCTTGAAGCTCTAATTTCCACTAGGAAAGCGATGCGACGAAAAAGAATCAGAAGACAATTGTACAACTTTCTTTACACAGTTTGATTATTAACCATATTCTTAATTTTATTATCTTAGCCTTCATTTAATCTCAAGTAATAGTTATTTTCAGGAGTTGGTTTGTAAGGATTAAATTTGTTTTTACGAGTTTGACCACGGATATATATTAGTTAGAGAACCACCGGGTCCCAATGGTTAAATGGTATACGAGCTTGCTTCGGAACCGGGAGGTCCTGGATTCGAAGCCTGGCCACGGGTGCGTACTGCCGATGATCCCCAAACTGGGGTGAAACAGCTGTCCAGTACTCCTTGCTGGTTTTCCAATGCTTCGACAACTGATATCAATCCGTGGTCAAACTAGTAATAGAGTTATTTGTTAATTATATTATGTCATTGTGTTTATACTTGTATATAACAGCCTGTTTCTATTTCATAAATTATTCTACACTATGTGTTGTATACAATCTAGTTGTTATTTATTACAGTTGTCGTGAACAATTATTACACCCCTACTAGTCAGTAATGTGAGAGTAAATCTTAACTGTAAATCATGTATTAGTATGGAATTAGAATTCTACACAGCATTGATCAAAAGTACACTTACTTTGGGTGTGGTTTTCTAACTGAAAAATCAAAGACTGGAACTGTAATACTCCGTGCATTGTTTCATGAACAATCTATTAGAGTTATGCTCTACCACAGTGTCTAAGTTCTACTCTTATTGTTTACTTTGTTAGACTTAGTTTTAGAATAACTTACATTGAAGCTTAAATTGTATTAGCATAACTAGAATATTTAAATTACAAAATCTATGAGATAATCTTAACGTCGAATAATTCGAGGAAACTATCAAACAGTTATACTGAAGAAATTAAGAAATCTGAATTGAAAAGTTAAACAAAGCATGTACGAAAAATCTACCAGGATATTTCGAGGATTCTTCTCAACTGGCTACAACCCGACCGATCCTAAAATATAAATTAAAAAATGGATTTTTATATTGTTCAGGCTGTTGGTGCATCGGTGGTTCAGTGGTCGAATACTTGCCAGTTGCGCATGTTGTCCGGGGTCCTATCACCAGCCGACTTCGTCTTATACTCCACCTAGTCTGTAGTAAGTCTGATGAAGAGGGCAGGTTTGGGATGAGGCTGGCAACTCCACCCAGCAAAAACAACCCTGCTATTGAAAATTGTAAACTGAAGCTTGAAGTCCTATGTTCCATTCAAAACGCAAAGGAATTCTTCAGGTTGTAGCCAGTTCAAAAGAATCCTCAAAATAATTTTAAAAATACAGTTCATTTATTCTTGGCACATTTATCAATTTTGCTTTGCTCAAATTTACTGATGAGAAGATTTGTATAAAATCTGCACTGTATTGAATTATAAGTGTTGAAAATTGCACAAAAGTGTATCAATTCAAGTTGTAACACTTTGGTAAAGTGCAAACGATTACAGGAAGGAAATGCAATTAAATTACCGTTGACCAAAAAACGCATGAGAGAAAAAAATAAAATAATCAGATGAAGGTTGGTTAGAGTTTTTAGAATCTGAAAGATCATAATGACTAAATACATCTGGAATGTTTAATTCAATTTTAGATTTTCCCGTCAATTGATTGGACTGAAGTGCTTGGTCTCAGGTTGACATGTCGGCTTCTTGTGCAGTTGGTTCGACGATTTCTGGGCATGTAATGATTGGTGGATGGTGACTAGCAGTGGAATCTAGGATGCGCATTTCGTCCTATTCTGGACTCGTCAGGTAGATGTACCTGCATTTCCCCAGTGAGTGATGATGTTCCCATCTAGACTCGAACCCAGTGACCATAGTTTCAAATGCCAAAGCGTTATCCACTAGACCACTTGGGCCACGAGAGTCACCTCTTGTGCAACAGGTCATATGCAATGTTGTTGTTGAGTCATCTCATCACTCGTTTGAAATCACTGAGTTTTAACACCTCCCATGATACCGATTAGACAGTCTAAATCTCCCCAAGTAGTTCAGACTAACAGTCAAGTATTTCATAGACTGGTGTTTTGTTAACTGCTTTAACTGAGGTAATATAAATGTTGAAGAAATATCAGCTGAATACAGTGTGGAATGAAAAGGATAGTGTCTTAGTGATATCCTCATTGAGACGCTAAGTTAAATGAATATCTTTACAAGTAGAATTAATTCTGTCATTATGTATAAATACGTCTGGGTTCAAAAGCTTTAAGTTGTTTGAACTTCCTCAGATTCTTACGGACATTCGTAATACTGATAAATCTTCAACATTACTGAGTAATAGAGAGTTGTGATATAACTGATATAATCGCTCAGAAGTTAATTATTAATTAATGGAACGGAATTCGTCGGTGGCATAGCGGTAGAATGCTCACCAACCACGCTTAGGTGGTTCGGTGTTCGTGCCCCAGCTGACGCATTCCTTTACCTCACTAGGCCGGTAATAAGACTGGTAAAGAGGGAAGGTTGGACATTAGGCTAGTAATCCCATCCCGTAAAAATGAACACGAGTGCTACCGAAACTTCAAGCCTCTAGCTTGTTCCACTGGGGATGTAAAGGAATAAAAAAGATGGAACTAAAAGTTTGAAATTGGATAAGATGGAAACTGTTATTAGATGAGAAGAAGTATGGTGAAGTGTCCACTCGACAAGTGTAAACAAAGTGGGTTAAACTTTGTATCATTCGTCCTTACTTTGTAGATAATTTTATAAGGGGACTTCGGTAGAGTTGCTTGGTCTGTGTTCACTAGGTACTCAGTAATTAATTAAAACAATTTCTTAGCTGAATGGTCTCTATTATTTTCTTCATGACTCATTGGGTATAAGCGAATAAAAAAATTAAGGGTTCAATGGTTAGACAGCTACTATACATGATGTATGTTCCAAAGACCGTTTTTGATATAAACGAGTAGTTTTGTATTCACTTGTGATTTACAGAAATCAGACTTGAGAACAGTCTACTTAACTGACGACATTCAGATAGTTGAAACTTTAGCTCAAAGTACAACCACTAAATAGAGTAAATGAGCATACGCTTAGCTCATGAGAAAATCTTTTATGATAGTGTTAAGTTTTAAAGTATTTCTGATATAAAACTACTATGAATTTATTTTTATTCATACTTTTAGTTTCTTGCTGGTATTACTCAGGCGAATCGATAAATATCAGTTTTATTATATAGGCGCCTTGAACTGATGCCTTGATATTAACATAAATGCTAAAATTGGTTGCATACCGTACGAGTACCATTAGGAACAGCCTAACTCACTTAGTAGGAGCAGATACACCCAACTAGTGAGTCTGAAATAGGACAGAATGTGAGCCGTAGATTTCACTACTAGGCATCATCAGCTGAGAAAACTTTCTTCACGGCTTTCAAATAATTGCTAATCTATTACTATGATTTTTCGACTTAAAAAAATAGAAGTAGTTTTACAAAAACACTATAATGGATATATGTGAACAGTGAATACAAATCAGTTAATGTTACCTAGCTGACGAGTCTTGGCTTATTCAGCCGATTATCACCCGAATGCTATCAATCAAAGTATGATTTTTAACTAATAATTTAACTACATTCATATTAACGCGCACTACAAGATGTAGAAAATTATTAGGGCTTTAATTATCTTTTTTCATTACTCACACTCTGAGTGGGACATAGGGTTTCATGCTTCGAAGTTTCTTTAGCTGTGTTGCTGTCCCTCCAGGGTGAGGTTGCTAATCTAACGCCCAACCACTCCGCCTTTC